AGTAAATGCACTTCTCTAAAATCAGTCTACATTTACCAATATGACAGTAGAGATGACTGTAAGTTGCAGAAAAAAAATCCCTTGAAAACCCTTGAAAATCAATTTTTAAAAGGAGAAACCTGGGGTATATAATACCATAATATATTCCTATATGAAAAAATAATTCCCTTGAGCGTTTGAAAGCACAGATGCATTTGTATTGATAAATATGGTCGAGAATGGAGTTTAGACAGCCTCTGAGGAATAAAAGGGATCTTCTGCAGACCAACTACCTTAACCTCTGTGCATCTTGGAGCACAGAGAGAGGCTGTCAACTTCATGAGTCTTGGTCCAGTGTGCTGTAGAGCTGACTTTCTGGGCTGCAAGCACACACTGCTGGGTCATGTCCAATCTTTCATGCAGCAGGATCCCCAAGTTCTTCTCCACAGGGCTGCTCTCAACCCATTAATCCCCTGGTCTGTCTTGACTCTAGGCGTTGATCTGACACAGGTGCAGGACCTTGCACTTGGCCTTGTTGAACCCTGTGAGGCTCACATTAAATTATTAATAAAAAAAAACCAAACCCAAAGCCCTGGTTCTTAATGTATTTGTAAAAGCTCTTAAAAAAGCCAAAAATCAATCTACTTCTCAAGTAAAGCATAAACTGTGTGCAGATCACTATCAAGGAACACAGTAGCTAACAGAAATAAAAAATAAAAAATTCTGCCAGTTTCAGTTAGGTTTTAATATGCATTAGCTGTAGACAAAGCTACAACACAATTTTCCACACAGAGATATTTTTAGGACCTAACTGTATTTTTGATTTTGAAAGGTTGTACTAACTATCAAATGATAAAACCAGAATAAATCCTCCTCAAAATGGCTTCTCTCAATATTAAAATATTTTTCCAACTGATTTCTACCATAATCTGAATTATTTTCTTTACAAAATGGTGGTAATGAGAGGTGAAAATGAAACAAACAATAGGTATGTTCAAATTCTCTGAATCAGGTAGCTGCAGCTTCTCTCCTATACTCCTACAGACTGGTTTGAAAACTAAACATAAATTATGAACAAATGCATTCATCATATGCAAATCAAATACTGGAAAATATACCCATAAATGCTTATTGAACCAACTGAAATTATCACATCTCCATTTTTATCTTCTCTTTCTAATTAACAGAAAAAATGGAACTATCTAAATAATGCCATATGGTAAAAAATGAAAAGTGAGAAACAATTCTTCAACCTCATGTTAATTAAATGGAGATGAAATGATTACATTCTACTGTATGTATTCAACCACTCTTTTTTATTACTTTTAATAATATCTTTTCATGCAGCTTTTTTTTTTTTTTTCATTTAAGCCCACTCATTTCTGCTCTTTAAACAGAACAAAGAGAGAGCAAAGAAAAGTGATATCTTGATGCTTGAGGAGATGAAAATGTGGATCAAATGTGGACTCATATGCATTAACTCTGACAAATTTTCACTTTAGATTTCTAACTACTGAAACACCATAGCACACAGGAAAATAGAAAAGAAAGCAGATTAGCTGTTGCACTGGCTTCAGTACTGAAAGGCTAAGTTAATATATTACTCAACAATTTCAGAAAGCTAGTATAGATTTAGATAAAATATTAGAATATAAAGGCTAAGTATAGCTAGTATATATAGGTACACTATAGTATGCTATATAGGTATATAGGTAAGATTTAGGTAGAATTTTAAAATGTAAAGGCTAAGTATAGCTAATATACTTAGTATATATAGTATATACTTAGTATATACTAGTATAGTGGCTACAACTAAAAAGTGGCATTAAAAATAACTCTCTTAGACTGATGAACAGCCTTCAGTTTCACATTAACAAGTCAAATGCACGTGTTACTAAATTACACATCTAAACTACTAAAAAACATATGAGGATTCTGAAAACAATCTGCAAAAGAAGAAACAGAATACTACAGAAAAGCAACAGCATGAAGCAAAACAATTCTGTTTTGTTGCAATCTACCTAATAGAAACTACTTCTAATTACATATTACTCATCCTTTTTTAACATTAATCAAAGTAACGAAAGCCTATGAACTTTAAAAAAATAAAAAAACACTCCACTGCTTAGTCCACCTTTACCTGAGAACCACTTTCAGTTGATGAAGTTTCTGATAACAAGAAAAGAACAAGTTTATTGTTCTTTCAAAAAATAACCATTATTTTAACATAATGTTGAAACTTCTTCCTATTACAAACTGATTTTTTCCATTTTAATCTATCTGCTCTCAACATTAAATGTACCCATTACTGATTTGTCTTACCTGACCTAAAAAGGAGGAAACAAGGCCTCCCAAATTCCTTGTATAGATCACACAGTCACACAGCTGCACCTTCAGTGCCTGGGTAAGAACGGCTGAATCTCCAGTGTAGTTCTGAACCCCTGGAGCTTGCTTATATAGCATGAAACACTTTGATTTTTCCCTGGTAGCCTGTCATTCTCTTGTCTTGTGTATCTGCAGCACAGCACTAAGAGTGTTGTTTGTACCACGGTGCAACAGGTTCAAAACAGACAGCAAGCAACAGATGCTTGGTGCTTCTGTGGCAGACAGCATTTCCAGACAAATGCATCTACAGCCACCCCTTCTCCAGAAGCCAAGAAATCATGGATAAATGCTCAGACACCTCAAACGGGGGAACTCACCTGGAAAAATGCTGTGCATGCTAATCCCACTGAAGTGCAGTTCAGCCTTTGGCAAAATTCAGTTTAAAAATTCAAGAGTGATTTTGTTTTTTTTTTTGGTAAGCATTTGTCAATTAACCTATATCAGCAATTCAAAAAATCTCTCACTCAGAAGGCCCTCAAAAATGTCTGGTAAAATCATTAATTTTAGCAGAAATTTTGGTTGTTGTCCTGATTCAGAAATTTTCATTATATTTACCTATCAAATTCAGAAGAATTAGCTCATAAATATAATAAACATGTATTATGGCCAACCACATAAAACTGGAAATAGTCCTGAATACCCCAGAAAGACTGACAAAATAATACTGGAAATGCGTATTTTAATTTATTAACCTGTGAGTTTCATAAAAGTAAGCCATTTTCCTGAAGTCACTCTTTACTAGATTGGTTGCACTTCAAAATTGTTTCTTTCTTCAGGATAGGTCTACTAAAAATTTTGTTTCTCCCATTAAGGAAAGTGGTGGCTCTCTCTGATAACCTCATATGACAATCTGTGATAAGAATAAACAAACTTTGTGAAGATTCTGAAAGTTAAAAAGTAAACATGGAGAAAGAACTCTTTCCCTACTTTTACTACAGTATGTCTAACTCAGGCTGTGAGCACTGGCAGGTCTATGGCACTAATGAAACAGATCAGACTATAGCTATGTTTCCTGACTTGAGATCTGTATGACATTTGTATTTAGCTTTTTAACTGAAAGCAATGACACAATTAAATCTTCATATGGTAAGACACTGCTACATATATCTTCTCTCTGAATCACTATTAGCTTTTTAAGCATACCTTAAGAATAGCTGGTCCTATTCACTGCTAAAACCAAGCGTGCCTTTATGGAGCATTTATGTGGCTAGTGTAAATGACTAACGCTGTGACTTGCTCTGACTTTTTATGCTGTTATTTTCTTGGCAAACAGAACCAGGCTCCAAAACCCATTCTCCTATGACACAATGGTGGGACCTTAATCCTATTTTTTGCCACGGTGCTTACAATGCTTTTCTGGGATTTCCGAAAAGGAATATTCCATAATTTTATATTGCATGTTTTAGGGTATTTTTTTGTTCTTTTCAGTGTTGCTTTTATATCATGATCTTGCATAAATTTTCAAATTAACTTGTGTTTCCAAATATTTTTCCAAATTTTGCAAACAGAATAAAATTACTATTCCATTTAAGCTTCCTTAAATCAAGTTCAACACCAAAAAAAAAAGAAAAAAGAAAGGCACAAAAAATACATAAATTACACCTATGATAATACTGTCCGATTTTATAAATAGGTTTTAGGCTCACTGTCACTGGAAGCATGTTTTTAAAGATAAATCTACTTCTTGACCTGCACTATTGTGATTGCAAAATTCACTGTTAATAAAAAAGTAAGAGAATACCACTCAGGTCCCCAATAACAGCATTCATCAGAAGGATGCTAAATATAAAACAGACTGAGTATGGAAGTGAAGTGGCACACAGTTCACCTACAAATGTTCTATAACTTAAAACAGAAGTTATGTTTCAACATAACAAATGCAAACTTGTTCTTCAAAATTCTTCTGTCAAGTGGATTATCATCATGCTTATGTCTCGTATTTCAGCTGTATCAGTGTCGCAGTGTGTGCACTGTCATGTTTTCAGAGAAAAATAGGTGGAAATTAAGTACATGCCCTTTGACACAAACTAAGTACAAGCAGTGCCATGACAAAGTCAAACTGGAGAAGAAAAAACAAAAAGGCATGGTATGAACACCATGGTATGGCATATGGTACCCCAAGAGCATAATGCCTTATAATCTTCAATATCTTAGAGAAAGCAACATATGTAATTAATATTTTAATATACAGAACTCTAGTTTTTTTCCCCTTTATTATCTGAGAAACCAGTGCATTTTTCTGACACACACTCCAAATGTAACTTAACTTTTTTGTTGGCCAGGCAAGTAGCTGTGAATTTCAGACAGGAAAGTCTCACAGATTGCCTTCTGCCATGATTCACCGTCACTGCATGGATGACACTTCTTATAATGCAACTACTATTGTGAGAAATCATTATTAACATCTTAATAGCAACAAATGATATAGATCTAATAATATTGAACTTATTTTTACCCAAATGAACACAATAGTTTTAAAACAGCCAAGCAATCACTATTCCTATTAGAAATAGTCAATTTTTTGTTTCTATTGCAGGTGCCATCCTTGCTGATAATATGCATCATATACACTGAAACAGACAGCATTTTCAGTTATGAAAATTATAATAGTATGAGAAAAAAAAAGTCTTTCTTACCTATGTATACAATTTTTAGATTCGAGATATGCCATACCAGAAGCAGCATCCAATGAAAATTTCACCAACTGTTTGGTTTTTAGATCATCCTTCTTTTTTCTCAAAAAGGACAGGAAATCACCTCCTAGCAAAACAGAGATGGACAGTGAGACACAACAGATAGTGCACTGGCATTTACTTAACATCTCTTAGGGGTGCAAAACCAAACTAAATACAGCTTATTTTCTTAACCTATCAGTTTGAAGTTAGCCTAAGAACAAGGAACTTACCTTCCAAAATGCAGTTTCCCTAACTTCCATTAAATACTAAGTGCTTAAAGTGAAAACTGCACAGCATGTTTCCAATATATTCAAAATCTTCACCAGTGTACATTAAATCCAGACATACATGAAAATTGTTGATGAAACCTTATTTGTGATAAACACAATCACAGAATGGTTGCTGCAGGGGTTTACAAAAAATCTGAATAAAGATTCTAGGTCCTACTAGTTAGATGAGCATAATTTTTAGTTGATCATTTGCATGGGTGTACCTCAAATTCTACACTGATTGTGTTTGGAGGGGTAACAAATTGTTTTACTTCTCAGGCAGTGTTAACTGCATATTTGGCACTGCCAACTGAAGGCAAACAACGGTTGCTGTGACTTCCCAGTCTTCTGCCTTGGAGGAACAAAACTGCTGTCCTCTTGTCTGAGGAGGAAAGGGGTCAGTATGGAGGATTTCAAAAAAGGCATTTGTGTTTGCAAAAAAAAAAGTTTCTGAAACTAAATTAGGACAAAGATAAGCAGGAGAGACATTATATGTCTGTATATATTATATGGAGACATTATATGGACTACAATGCCATTTTCTGATTAACAGTATTAAATATTTTTTCTAAAATGTAATTTATTGTTCCAGACAAAAGACAAAAAATTGTAATGGAGCTTTCCAGATCACATTATTTATTTATTAGAATGTAGCCAGCCCTTGTTCCAGTCTTTGTTTCTCTTCACTTTGCACTGAATTGACCATAGTGATTCTCTTTTGCAAATACTGCACTCTCACAGAGTTCTATTTGCTGCCTTCTTAACAATGTGAAAAGACATTATTAAAAGCTTCATGTGGGATTTTCTTAGAAGGCCATTCCTATTTATATTTCATACTGCAAAAAATAAAAGAATATTAAAAGTTTGCTGTTGTGAAGTGTAACTGTAATGCCCACCTAATATTAAGTTGGGGTAACTGTAAAATGGATTAGCACCTTAACTGTCAACTGCTCTGTTTATTCTTTTTTGTCTGGATTTAGGTATATTTTAGTACAAATGATCTTGATAGGCTTTACAGGCTGTCCCTTAATGAAACTCCCAGAAAATTAACACCTATTAAACTACAGATAACCAGCTTCCACTTTGTTTGATTTATTTTTTTTTTTTTTTTTTTGGTAAACACGGTGATATAACAGGAAAGCCAGAAAACACTCTGTTTTCACAGAACAGTATAGTTGAGGCTGGCAGTGATCCTCTGGAGGTCACCTGGTTCAAAGTTTGCTAAAGGAGGGCCTCCTGGAGCTGGGTGCCCAGGACTATTACCAGATGGCTTTTGAATATCTCCATGCATGGAGATGCCAGAACCTGTCTGTGCCAGTGCTCAGTCACCATCACAAGGAAGTATTGCCTTACGTTCAGAAGGAACCTCCTATATTTCAGTGTGCCTATTTTCTCTCCTCCTGTAACAGGGCATGACTGAAAAGAGCCTGGCTCTGTCCTTTTTGCAGGTATTTATACACACTGATGAGACTTCGTGACCCTCCTCCAGCCTCAGCAGTCCCAGCTCACTCAGTCCTTTCTCCTAGAACAGCTGCTCCAGTCCCTTCATCATCTTGTTGGCCCTTTGCTGCACTGTCTCCAATGTGTCCATGTCTGCCTTGTACTGGGGAGCCCAGAACTGGGCCCAGTATTCCAGATGGGGCCGCACCACTGCTGAGTAAAGAGGAAAGATCATCTTCCTTGATCTGCTAACAACACTCCTCCTAATGCAGCCCATAACACAGGATACCATTCACCTTTCCCACAAGGGCACGTTGCTGGCCTGTGTTCAACACTTAGTGTCCACCAGGACCTTGAGATCTCCTTCTGCCAAGCTGCTTCCCAGCTGGGCAGCCCCCCAAGCATGTTCCGGTGCCTGAGGCTGCTCCTGTCCCTGAGCTGCAGGACCCTGCGCTTCCGCTTGTTGAACTGCATGAGGTTTCTGTGAGCCCCTTTCTCCAGCCTGTCCAGGTCCCTCTGGATGACAGCACAACCCTCTGGTGTATCAACCCCTCCTCCCAGTTCAGTGTCATCTGCAGACTTGCTGACGGTGCGCTCTGCCTATCATCCAGACCATTAACAAAGATGCTGAACAGGCCTGGACACAGTATTGAACCCTGTACACTGCTCTTTAATGACCTCCTGTACACTCTTTAATCACACTGTACACTGCTCTTTAATGACCTCCAATTTCCTTAATACTTCGATTCCAGTTAAAACAGGTGAATAAATTTACCTGATACATTCTTTCTTCAGTGACAGATTTCCAGCCATTTTTGAAAAGCAGTGCACATAACAGCAAAACTGTCTCTTTAAGGCATATATAGTCTATCTTTCCATTTGTAAGAGTAACAAAGGGTTTGCATAAACCACATAACCCAATACTATGGATCATCTAGGTATCTAACTACCAGACTGCCAGAATATATTTTTCAAGTACAACGATGAAAGCAAAGGTGAGTGATATTTTTTTATTCACAATGCTAAGAATTGTCCATTTGGGGCCAGCAAGAACGCCTTAGGGAAATACTAAAGATTTTTAAGATATTAAAATTTAACCATATGCATTAAAAATTTAGAAATAATACATGTTATCAATTTGTTTCTAATTTTCTCAGGCAATCAAATTATGATCCTAATCTTCACCAGTTTGTTTCCGAACAGGATCAAAAGCTGCTCAGCTCCTTACACTAGAATAAGCCAAACTCACAAGAGCAGAAACCTGTAACTTCCCAGTGCAAGCCTATCATCAGGAAGGGATTTAGATTTGCTAATTTTCAGTGTTTGTACTGTATTGAACTTTCAGAGTTCTGAGCAGAACCAGCATAGTATACTTTGAGCTGTATACAGTGTATTTTATGCCTATCATCAAAACACAGTTTATCCTAATCTTCCTCAGTCTCAATAGTGAAAAAAGTCAGCAAAAGAATGTTTTCAATAGCAGTTCTGTTTTCTTCTATCTATCCTGGCACGGAGATGACAAAAATGTCTTTTAAATACTCTGTTCAGGACTGATTTGAAAGCACCGTCTGTTGCAGACAAAAGAACAAAACAATATGCTTGTATAAGATAACATCATTTTAGGTCAAATCTAATCCTCAAATTAATCACCCTCAAAATCCTCATCATTGTGATATGAACATAGTCTTAAGTCTGTCCTTTAACTAACAGAATTTTTCTTACTAGTAGATTTTTACTTTTACTGTCTACTGTGGCCAATGTTCCAGTTACTCATCTTCATAGAAAAGCATGCACATGAATACCTTCACTGATGAGTTAAGAGGATTTCACTACAAACCCTTCAGTGTAGAACTGGGGCTATGTAATGTCTTTATGTGCTTCTTAAAACATGTTTAAATATAAGAAGTCCTAATTCACTATTTGCAGCACATAGTGTTAGATCACCATCTCCAATATAGTAGCCATTGATAAAAAAAATAAACAGACCAATTAGACTATGAAACAACTGAAACTAAACTAGATTACTACACACTAGTACTTTCTCTTATACATGAAATTTCTATTGTATTCTACATGGCTACATGTTATTACAGTTAATGGCATTCAACACTTACCAGGAAATAAGGTTTGCTCCAACCACTCTAAGTACTACAGAAATAATTAGGCCATTACAGTATTATCACCAAACAGAAATTGACTGCCTGTTTGGGGTTTACAGGAGGATAAATTAACAGTAGAGGAGTGTCTGCTTAATATGATAGAATTCTTTTACTAAGTAGATGAGAAAATGTAGTACCTAAGCAGAAGCTCCATGAGAGCAGACTCTAGTAACTGGATTCCTGAAAACACCCCTCCATATATTTCACTGTGAATGTGAACTATTTCTCATTATATGCAGAATTTTTAAGCATAACAATACTACATACAAGCATCTCCTAGTGTTTTCCATAGTTTATAGTGTAAACTTTATGCTGTATGTTAAACAGTATTTTATGGCAATATAACAGTTCCATTAATGGTGTACACAAAAGTAAGCTGACATTTTGCAGGAGAAGAAAATCTACCGGTGATCTATGAGAATAAATCAAAATACAAGAAACACCAATGAAATAATTTCTGACTTTAATAGCATTTATGCTCAGCTGTGAGCACACAATTCAGTGTTCTCCTGAGCTGGCGCCCATCTACTTGTTCTACGCAGTCTTGGTATTCTGAATGCCAAGAGTGCCAATATCCACACTGAACATAATTAAAAAAATAGCTTTGAAATTACGGTGCAAAATCTCCCACTTACTGATTTCTAGATATACAGACATACATTATATATTGTATCTCTATGTGGCAGCACACAACTTAAATAATATTATGAATAATAATTATACAAATATGAATGCGTTAACAGCAATTATTAAGAGTCATATGGAATGCTAAATTATTATTTACATATAAATTTTAATAAAATTTATAAAATATTTATTAATAAAATATAAATAAAATATTTATTTATTAATAAAAAGGGAGAATTTCCTTTATTAAACAGCCTTGTTAAGTAGCATTTTGTTTAAAGAATCCAGTTAATTCTTCTTAAATTTATACATGTATTAATCATGAAGATGCAGCATGCTTCTTGGCCACATCACTTAATGGTCACATAACACAGAGGAGCTCCATGATTCAATATTTGCAATTCTTTTATAAGCTATTATAATATTATTGAAATTACCTTTATCTGCACCTGTGAGCTTTTATAAATTTGGGGATTCATATGGTGAGTCTTCTCACTAATGTTATGAAATTTAGCATTTCTCTATTGCCCAGTATCTTAATCCTATATACATTATCAACAAAATAAACCCAACAGTTACCTAATACTATG